GGTCATCATATATATATATATATATATATATATACAGACATATATATATACACACACACATATATATATATATATATATATATATATATATATATATATATATATACACAGACATATATATACACACACACACACACATATACACACACACACACACATATATATATATATATATGCTCTCAGAGTCCCTTCGATAGCGCTCTCTAGAGAAAACGGTAAATTTAATAAAAACAGTGGCTGCTGCTATGAATGCATTACTCTTCAAGTACGAATTGAGTTCTCTTAACCGCTGGCATATTTCATATGGAAAACTGCGATAGTCGAAAGTTGAACAAAAATAATAAAATATGAACTTCGGTCAGTTTATCTACAACTTCAACACTCAACACCTTATCCCAAAATTGAAAATATGTGGAAAAAAAAGGAAACAAACAAAACTTGTGTGTTCGTTTTAATCCAAAAAAAAAAAAGTCAGCAGTGTGGCTAGACATCCGATTGCCTCAAGCCGGTATCGAAACCCGACAGATGTGGTGTCAGTCGGAGACTTTATCCCTGAGCTGTCAGCGTCGGGTTGAGACAAATGCTAATTTTTATGTACTTATTCTTCGAATAAACACGTCAAAGACCGAGAGGGCTCAATTCATGGAAGAGCTTTGCTGTATTAGCAATAGTAGGCATTGTTTACAAACACGCGCTTTCTCTCAAGAGTGCTCGACCGGAATTAAATTTTTCAGGGGCGTATATATATATATATATATATATATATATATAAAATACGTGTGTGAGCGCACACACGCGTGATAAATGTGTAGGGATTAATATGCAAAAGAAAAGTATACATGCCAAATTTGATATATTGCAGGGGAAGAAAAAATGGCGTCTAGTTGATTCAATTTTTATTGCCATGCACATCTGGACAAATATTACTTCCAACTGAGCAAATCTTTTGTGCAATATTATGGATTATTTTTATATCCCAAACTAGCAACGCTTATTTCTGGTAACTGTTCTTGAATGTGCAACGAATTGAAAAGAAACGGAACAGAAAAAAATCTTGGGATTAAAAAAAAAAGAAAGAAAAAGAAACGAAAGCTTTTGCTTGGTTATTTTTTTTTCTATTAATTTGCAGTTCCTGTTATCCACAAATGTTTCGGAACTCTCTCTGGTGGAGGTATTTTTAAAATATGGCGGAAAAGACACGAGAACAAATGACTAAGCATTTTACTTGATCCGCCGATTGCTTTTGAGATCTGACCGACTTGGACGAAGAAATTTATGTTATAAGTTTGTTAATAATTGTAAATTTGACTAGTGACAAAAAGATGACATGATTGGAACTTGCTTGTCTGGCCCCATTGTTAGAGTATCGGGTGAACAACTCACGAGTATTTTCAAACCAATACAGAACGTCAATAAATGGCACTGCATCGACCTCGATATTATGCGACAGTTGACTAGAACAGCCTCTCTAAGCGGTAATAAAGAGTTCGGGCTCCTTACTACACAATATAAAAAATAAATAATGCACACGAGTCATTATTTTTTTATTTTGGGCATATGGGGTTAAACACTTGAAAATAGCTGAACGTTTCCGTCTTTGCCGTATTCCTTTATCGGTGTTGAGAGGAAAGGTCAGAGATTTATTTTAGCAGATTTTATTCTTTGTTGTTAGATATTTTTCCACCTCAAGCAAGGCAATAAAGCCACTAAGATACAAGGGGGTGTTGAATGTGAGAGAATGAGAAAAAGAAAATATTATTAAGTTGAGAGAACAATAAAAAAAAAAACAAGATTATCAGTATGGCATCAGGGTTGCCCACTGGAAGTACTTGTACAATACACCTATCCATGCGCGATTTGGCGCTGCATAAACCCAGATATTATGCGGCTGTTAAAACAGCTGCCACCCTCAGTGCTAATAAAGAATTTGGACTTCTTATTAACAGTCAGGATGCAGCAAACAGAAAACTACCCACCCGGCAGCCTCTCAATGAAATGTCAACCATTGATTAGTCAGATGACCAAAAAATTAAGACAGTTAAATAATTAAGGCCGTAGAAGAAAGACAGGAACGGGTAAGCCATATTCTAAACAGGAAAAAAAAGGGATAAACCTCTAGTCACGTTCGATAAACATAGGAGGGGGTGATAAATAAACCTATCTACTCCTATTAACCTGTTCACAGCACAGAAAGCTGGTTGATCTTACAGAGACTCTAGGAAGGTTGCCGGATAAGGGCCTACACCCGTTCCAGGCCAAGTGGGGATTATTAAATCATTAAAATCTCAGAATTTTGAAATAACAACATACTAGATTTCAAGTACAGGAATCAATTTATAATTAATTGATATTAAAGCTTCATTAAAATTATTGGAGATGATTTCGACGCCAGCGTCAGATCTTGGTCTGTTCAGAATGTATCCAACATTTTTAAATGCCTTGGTGACCGACCACTTCCGCGGCCATCTGATAGCTGGCAACCGGTGAAAAAGGAAAATATTGCGCATGCGCTAATAGAAACATTCAAATAAGCGCCAATAAGTGAAAGTTTGTAATATGTGATCGTTGTATTCACAATATATATTCTTTCACGCGGTCTTTAGCTAACACATATCATCCAGCTCCTTTTCTTCCTCAACCTCCAACCAGTCTATATTTGGTTACCTGTGTCTTGTGCTTCTGCCAAAGTTTAACTCGCGTCTGAAATGCCATTGATGATATTAAGAAGAACGCGATGAGGCAGCCGAAGGTGATCCCGAAAGAGGAGATTGCTGACTGTTTCGACAATTGGAAGAAATGCTAAGTGTACGAGGTATGATCAAAATGTAACGGGACCATTGCTATGGTAACAGATAATAGACGTAGAGTGAAGCTGCTTGGTACAGATTAGCATTGAACTCTGTCGCGCATGTACAATAAGTTATAACGTTATCGCTCACTTCCGTTGCTTATAACATGCTTGGAAGGAAAGTGTGTAGAGTGTGGTCGTCTAACCATACCACAGAGGTTCCGTCAGTGATCAGTGACCAAAGCAAAACATTCCCCAGGTACGACAACCACTATATTCCCGAGGTCTCGCCCATTGCGACTTTTTCCACTTCAAAAATAAAACCCCACTTAAAAATCCAAGAAAATGTGACGAGGCAACTGTTCGTTATTCCTATAAAAATGTTCCAGGAATTCATCCATCTATGGAAACGATGCAGAATAAAGGGTGCGACTTCAGAAGAGTACTACTTCGAAGGAGATTAAATGCCGAATTGATATGTGCTGTAGTTTTCTTTGCTTATAGTTGTGCTTGGAAGGAAAGTGTGTAGAGTGTGGGCCTCCCACCACACAAGAGAGTTTCCATCAGTGACCACCACTTGTGCAGCAGTGTTTGATCAATGGCAACATTCCCCAGCTCCGACATCCCCAATATTTTCTAAATTCTCAAACATTGCGACTATTTTCTCTATACAAAAATCAGATCCTAATTGAAAAGAATAATATTTAAAGAGTAGTTCCATCAACAGAAACGACGCTGCATAGTGTATGGCTTCAGAAAGCGACTACTTCGAAGGAGATTAAATGCCGAATTGATATGTGTTGTAGTTTTCTTTTTATACTAACAATCCCAATACTTTTTTATCAGACCTCGTATATTTTTTAAAAAATACTTTGAATTGTACTAAAGCACGATTTCTATTTTTCAAAAATAATATTAGATAAATGTATACTTTCCGAACTGGTCATGTAGACCAATTCGGAAAGGATACATTAGTTTTGTCATCGAATATGGGACAATTTCCTCATAGATAAAGTTTGGTTTCGTTTGCTTTACGGCGTGTCTACCTCAATGGGTTATGGGAAATATTTTTTTTCAAAAATGTATTGCTGGAAATAACGTATTGCTGGTAACAATTTTTTTACAAAAGTATTTTTACACTTTCATAGTGTTTTGACCCCAGTTTGAGGGTTAACTGCCCATAGATGGGACCCTAACAGGTGCTACCACCACGGATCAGGGTGGACCTAGGAACATCAGCAATTAAGAGGTGGTTCCACACTCCTCAAAACCTCCTTGCTGTTGGGCGTAGTTTATCGTCATACCCAGGACGCGGATGTAGTTTAGTTTATCGTCATACCCAGGACGTGGATGTAGTTTAGTTTATCGTCATACCCAGGACGTGTATGTAGTTTAGTTTATCGTGATACCCAGGACGTGGATGTAGTTTAGTTTATCGTGATACCCAGGACGTGGATGTAGTTTAGTTTATCGTCATACCCAGGACGTGGATGTAGTTTAGTTTATCGTCATACCCAGGATGTGTATGTAGTTTAGTTTATCGTCATACCCAGGACGTGGATGTAGTTTAGTTTATCGTCATACCGAGGACGAGGATGTAGTTTAGTTTATCGTCATACCCAGGATGTGTATGTAGTTTATCGTCATACCGAGGACGAGGATGTAGTTTAGTTTATCGTCATACCCAGGAGGTGGATGTAGTTTATCGTCTTAACAAGGATGCGGATGTAGTTTATGTTCATACCCAGGACGCGGATGTTGTTTATCATCTTACCCAAGACGTGGATGTAGTTTATCGTCTTACCCAGAACGCGGATGTAGTTTATCGTCATACCCAGTACGGTCATAGATGAAGTGAAGACAGGAAACACCAGAGATATGCTTCTGCATAAATAGAATTGATAGAGCATGTAAGCAGGGAGGAAGTCTTAAGGAAAAAATGGAAACAAAAATGAAATTTATACTTAGAATCAGAATATTGTATATTTGGGCAGCAATCGTTCTTTTATACATGTTTCATTTAATTTGAAGGAAAGATATTTACCCAGTTTTTCTAGGGTTTTGCAGTTTTACTTTTATGGGGATAAAGAAAGTGTAGAAACTGTGATTACTACCGGAAGCGCTTTCGGCCAATCGATTAATCCATTTCCAAGGAGTTTTTTAGCATGATTTTCATTTGTGCTGTAAATTGTATTCCGTTATGGCTCATGGCCGCATCAAGTTGAAACAACGGTTCCCGTACGATCACCGAAGTTAAGCAACGTCGTATCTAGCCAGGACTAAGATGGGTGACCACTTGGAAATGCCAGATGCTGTAAGCTTGAATGTGTGGGTGGTGTAACGGATAATGGCTCGGAATTGTTAATCGAAGTTGTGTTCGTTATACTCACGCGTAAATATCCTTGGGAAAGGTATGAATCCACCTCTTCTCCCCACAGGTAAGGCTTGTACCACAAAACCATAATTATCTAAAAAACCGTCCTGGGTATGGCGATAAACTACATCCGCGTCCTGAGTAAGACGATAAACTACGTCCAACAGCAAGGCCTCTGATCCGGTCCAGCCTGACCCGGGGTGGTAGCACCAGTTAGGGTCCCAGCTAACGGCAAAGAGTTGACCCCCCAAACTGGGGACAAAACACTATGATAGTGTAAAAATATGTTTTAATACCAGCAATGAATTTTTGAAGAAAAATTATTACCAGCTATGCATATTTGAAAAGAAAAATATTACGAGCAATACATTATTACCATCAATACATTATTACCAGTAATACATTATTACCATCAATACATTATTACCAGTAATACATTTTTGAAAAAACAAAATATTGCCAGCAATACATTTTTGAAAAGAAAAATATTACCAGCAATAAAAATCTTGTCGTCATTAAATAACCTATTGAGGTTGATATGCCGTAAAACAAAACAAACCAAACCAAATCAAAAAAAATTCTTACAATGTAAAATATTTCTGGCGTTTACACATTTCTTTCCGGGTCCCGCCCAGGGACCTAAGGTTAGAAATGGCATCATGACACTTTCCACTGACAAAAAATAATTACATAGATAAAACCCTTCGTAAAGTGTGGGCCGTACTTGTCAGAACAACTTTTTGTATCTCTTTATTATTATTATTATTACTATTCTGTCTGTCCCTATATGTAATTGTCCCTATTCTTCATTAATTCGCGCGACCGTTACACCTTGCCTATATCTATAATATTAAACGTTTTGATCGTGTGGAAATAGAGGAAAAGACATTACTTGTTTTCAGTGAGAAAAAGAAAGAAAGAAAGAAAGAAAGAAAGAAGCATATAAACTCTCCTGTCATTACCTTATAAATAATGAACTAATCCGTTTTGATCGCGTGAAAATAAGGGAAAAGACACTACTTGGTTTCAGTGAGAAAAAGAAAGAAAGAAAGAAAGAAAGAAGCGTTTAACCTCTCTTGTCATTACCTTATAAAATAATGAACTAATCCGTTTTGATCGCGTGGAAATAAGACACTACTTGGTTTCAGTGAGAAAATGAAAGAAAGAAAGAAAGAAAGACGTGTTTAACAAAATGTAAAATGTTATCAATTTCAAATCTTTTCATTTGTACCCGCTTACTTCTTAAAATAACGACCAGCATTCATATTTATGATTGTTATTACAATATTTTGCTAAAGTTGCCAAGCTCCAATATTTAACGATGTGATAGAGGAATTTCTAAGGATATTTTATTGTCATAGAACTCGTTATGAGCTTATTCAGTTATTAACTTAATAATGAAGACTCGTCAGAAACTAAAAAACTAATTATTATTCTGCTTGTTCCTTACTGACATTACCTCAGACAAACTATAACCCGTTCCGGTTTGGTTCCGAGGAAGAACAGACATGTCAAAGGCGCTGTTTGGTGAGTGAGTGAGTGAGTGGGTGAGTGAGTGAGTGAGTGAGTGAGTGGGTGAGTGGGTGAGTGAGTGAGTGAGTGAGTGGGTGAGTGAGTGGGTGAGTGAGATAAAATAGGCGAAAGAAAGAAAGAAAGAAAGAAAGAAAGAAAGGAATAGAGTAAGCGATATTAATCTCATGCGTTTTACGTCTGCTTCAGTGAAATAGTAAACCTTGTCAATGTTTTAATCCTTTCATTTGCACCCTCTTATTTCTTTAAATAATGACATGCATTCATATGTATGACTGCAATTTCAATATAATTATTAAAGTTGTTAAGCTCAAATACTTAAAGATGCAACCGGGGAATTTCTATGGGTATATTATAGTCTTGAAACTCGTAAGCTGCTTATTCAACCATTAAAATAAGAATTAAAATTCATCAGGAAATTAGAATAGGAAAATCGTTAAACTTTTAGGGATATTTCTACTTATTATTCTTTGTGTTATTATTATTATTATTATTATTATTATTATTATTATTATTATTATTATTCGTATGCTTTCACTAAATGTCTGGTGGTTATTGTTTGAAAATGAGAAACACGAGAATGTTTCTTCAAATTTCGAGCACTTTTCTAAGTATAGTCGAAGACTCTTGCAGTCACGTGATCTAAACAATCGCAATTCTTCCTTCATTTCATCAAGTCATCATTATCTTCATCCGATTCAGTTCCCCTTTTATTATACCCAGCATTCTATCGCTTATCTTTTTTTTTTCTTTTTTTTTTTTTTTTTTACTCTCTTTCTATTTCTGTATTTCCCGCCCATTTTTTTTATCGTCTGGTTCGCTTCGAAATTTACTACAGATATATTTTTATCATCGAGTCGACAATAAACGTTGCATTACGAATGAAAACACATCCTGCTCTTTGACCTTGATAATCTTTTTTTAACATCTTTTTTCGACTTCACTTCTTTCTTGTGAAATCTTTCCGCCTTTACACTATTTTTTCTTTTTCTTTTTTTACGTCTTCCGCATTCGATCTCTTTCCATTATTTTCTTTTCCAATAGTTTTTACTCATTTTTTCTTAGCTTTTTAATTTTTTCGGTTTTTCATTCTTATATGCCATCTTTTTATTCTTTACTACTTTTTGCCTCTTGGTATATATACTAAGCTTTAGTTACTACAGCATAAATTCAACTCGTGAAACATGGAAGATTATATGACGTTAACCACGCAAATATAAAAGGGCTGAAAATCAGAATTTGAAAACCTGAAATGTTATCTTATTTTTTATAAAAGCAAAAAAAGAACAATGCAACTTCTGATATTGGTGGAATAAAGGAATATATTTACTCGGTCTCCCCACGAAGGCAGGACGTGGCACAAGGTCGATAAAAGGTATCTGTCTTTGCAATGGGGCGTGCCATTTATTTTCCGTCATAATTTATCGCAATTCTTAGAATAATTATCATTATATAGTAGTTTTATGTTTCTCTTATCTTTTTTCATTTTATTCTTTCGTTAGTTCTCTCTTTTCTCCCACTCTCTCTTTGTCTCTCTCTGTCTTTCTCTCTGTCTCTCTCTCTCTCTCTCTCTCTATATATATATATATATATATATATATATATCTTCCGCGTACTCACTTTACTCTCATTCTTTTTTCTTTGTGCCTCCGTCTAAAACGTTTCTTTCTCCCATTTTATCTCACTCCAATTCTTTCTTTCTGACTACATCTTTATCGTTCGCATTTTCTTTCTTTCTTTCAATCTTTCTTTCAATCTTTCTTTCAATCTTTCTATCTCACTCACTCTGTTTTTTTTTCATTCTTTCTTTCTTTCTCCCGTTTTTTCTTTCTTTCTTTTTCCTTTCTTTCTATCTTTCTTTACTTCATTCTTTCTTTCTCTCTTTTTCCTTTCTTTCTTTATTTATTTCATTCTTTCTTTCTTTCTCCTCTTCTATCTCCCTTTATTTTTCTCTCGTTCTATCTTACTCTCTTTCTTTCTCCCATTTTATCTCACTTTCTTTCTTCTTTTCTCCCGGTGTCTCTCAATGAATTTCTTTCTTTCTTTCTGTCTCTCTTTCTCCAGTTCTTTCCTATTTTTCTTTCTTCCCTTTTAACCCCACTCAATTTTCTTTCTTTCTTTCTTTCTTTCTTTCTTTCTTTCTTTCTTTCTTTCTTTCTTTCTCCTGTTCTATCTCACTCACTTTCTTTTTTCTTTCTCACTTTCTTTCGATTTTTTCTCACCATGCCTTTCATTCACTTTCTTTCTTCCACAATCTATTAATCTCTTTCTCTCTCCCCATCTCCCCCCTCTCTCTCCCCCTCTCTCTCTCTCTCTCTCTCTCTCTCTCTCACACACACACACACACACACACACATTGTCTTTCTCTCAATGTATCTAGTGCAGTTTCCCTGACAATAACTAGGAGACATTATATTTGGAGTACGCCCTCGAATCATTACATATCAATAATATTATCTTTCTGTCTGAAACGCTGATACCTCCGCCATGCAGCCTCTTGTTCGCCGAAAAGGTATATCCGATTTGCTCGTTCAGCAGAATAAATCCCAGCCACATGACGCCTGTTTTACTCAACAAGCTCTGCAAGATGTTAAAAAACTTTCATATCCGGCTCATTTGCTAGACTGACCATGTATGTGACATGATGGCTCGATACCTGACTCGGTTCAGACAGCCCAACTACAACTCTTGCTCTATTGTGTCAGAAAGTACAAGGTTTGTGGAATAATACATCACGGGATAATATTCGTTATATGTACAGACCTATGGCAAAGTCAAGGAAGAATATACAACGCATAACTAAAGGGTTTGAATATAATTTCAGAATTAGTTATATTGAAACGCATATTCCGAGTGTTTAGCTATTAAATATAATATAACAATATTGTCAATAAAATATACAGTTTAAATACGTGATCTATGTATTCGGGATGTCAAAAACGAGCAATTACAGTACTTTAACTATCTGGAAAGTGTAGCAAAGATGCTTGCCAGAAACTAAACAAAGTATTAAGACTCCATGAGGAACAAAGAAATATGTGCGCAACTACAATGTAATATCTAACTCCTATATGGCAGTGAATGATGGACAATGTTCTCACAAATGAAAAAGAGTCTTGAAGCGACCAATTGTAGTTCTGTAGAGAAATGCTAACAATACCATAGATAGAACGTGTGAGAGGTGAATTGGTTTTAAGAAAAAGAGAAATTGCACGGTGCCCGGTAAAGAAGCGGTAATTTCAGAAAGACATGGGACAACCGTTGAAAACTGATGACGACTGAAAAATTCAGGAAGCATTTCTGCACATTTCGTCAAACCCCATATCGGATAGTCTTTGAAAAGTACGATTACTTGACGCTCAAAATCAGTGAATTGTTTAGCCATACGTAAATTGCAGAAGGAAAGACGAAAATT